AGACTTACTTATGATCAAATAAGGATACTGAAAGTGAGGAATGGGTAGCGGAAGTCAGTGGTGTGCAGTGCCTTTCACTGTGATTTTTTTTTTCCAGAGGTTCTACAACATAGGGGAAAAATGAACAGGGGACGCAGACACAAGAAATAAACTGTAGCCTTAATCTTAAATTAAAGGGAAGAGTGGAGAATGACTGTTGCCCTTGCATGTAGGCAATGACTGAAAGAGATGAGGGTGGCAGGAACACATAAAAGACTCAGGAGGAAATAAAAGTAATAAGGAGTCCTGTTACACACAGTGTGCTCTGTGTACAAAAGCAGTAGAATGTGTGATTCCCAGTTACCTGCATCAGAAAAATTGTGAAGGTTGCAGACCAGGCTGCCTGGAATATAGAACTGAAGAGACCTTTTCAAAACAGCAAATCAGTGTCACCAACCTACCCATTATCTATGTTTTGTGTTTAACTTCAAATTTGCTTAACAGTCATTTCTAGGAGACCAACATCCATGTGAAATTCCAGAAAAGCAGGCTGGGGTTCGATAAATGTAGGACAGATCCAGGGAGGCATTTTTGTGCCTAACTCTCTACTAGAGGTCTAGTCTTATATTGTAGGGTCTCTGGCTTTGAACAGAACTTGGAGCACCTGTGCGTGTGTTAGTGGTTTCACACCCTCTAGAGAACACCTCAAAAGCTTCATAAGTAGCAGGGTGAATAGTGTACTGGATAATTCAAGCAGGGTTGTGATCCAGGCACCTGTTAAAGCTCCCTCCTCTTTCTTTCACCCTGCAGGTTTCTCTTCTCTCCTTGGTGACATGCAGCCCTCCAACCACAACTACTACATGTACCAGCAGCAGCAGCAAGGCCCTTCCTCAGTGGGCAGTGGTCCCCCACTGCACACCCCAACCCCAGAGGGTTGCCCATCACAGGGAGGGAAGCAGCAGGGGGGTGAGGGCTATGGCCCTCCACCAGTGATGTCCATGCACCCACCCCCAATGCAGCATGGAGGCTACCACCAGCACCAGCAACACCACCCACACTCCCACCCGCAGCAGCAGCCACATCAGCACCAGCAGCAGCAGCAGTCACAGGCTTCAATCAACAGCGCTGGCTTTGGTGAGTCACTGCTGAAGGAAGGAACAGCTGGACCAAAACAAAATAAAAATAAAAAAGAGAGAGATTAGTGGGGACCCTCTCAAAGAAATTCCACAAAGAAGTTTCCCCTGCGCAGTGCCAATATTTTGTGTACAAAAAAGGGCAAAAGTCAGTTCTGATGGATTGTTGAGTAGGAAATTCACTTCTCTCTGAGGGAAAGGAGAATATGTATGTGTATGGTTTGGGATTCTATTTAGGGATACAGGGTAAAGCCTGGGGCTAAATAAAAAGAGAGACATCATCCTTTGGTCTTCCAAGGGAAGAGGGATTTCCAGCCAATGTAGCATGAGGCTCTTTGGGGAATAGAGAGTGATCCCTTTTTATTAAGGGATGGAGGGAAACGGTGTTCTGCCTTGGAATAATCTTGTCTTGTTTTTCATTCCAGCATTTCCCCCTGATTGGTGCTCCAACATTGATTCCCTGAAAGAAAGCTTCAAGATGGTAAACCGGCTGAACTGGTCTAGCATTGAGCACTCCCAGTTCTCAGGTCAGTTTTGGCCTAGTGGCTACAAACAGTCATCTAGCATTTGGAAGTGCTCAGATGTTTTTTCAACTGTAACCTTGACAAGTCTGTGGGTTTCTCAGTGGCACCACTCTTCTGTTTATAAAGCAAGATCTACTTCCTGGGTTCTGTAAAAAACAGACACCCTGCAGAAGTAAAGACAGATACTGTACAAGTCTGAGTGGGGGCATTAATTGATAAAAGTATCACAGAAAGCTGGTAGGAGAGTTTCCCTTCTGCTCCTTCCTCCCCTGGCCTGAGTCAGTGAGACAGCACACCTAAAAGGGAGCTCTCCAGATGCCCTGTGACTGATTAGAAAGGAAGAAGTAGGGTTTGCAGGGAGAAAGTAAGATTTAAGCCTGGAAGATAGCAGCTACTTGCAGGGAGCCTTTCAAAGCCAAGGGGAGAGACCACTGTACGTGCTGGCTTTGAAGCTGTCCCTGTTCTCTGCAGAGCTCATGGAGAGTCTGCGCCAGGCTGAACGGAAGAACTGGACGCTGGATCAACACCATATTGCCAACCTCTGCGACTCCCTCAATCACTTCCTCACCCAGACTGGTCAACTTCCTCATCTAGTCGGCCCACAGCAGCCCCCCCGAATCTCTGAGTCTTGTGCCCTTAACAGTGGCAAGCAGGAGCAGTCCATGAACCAAGGTAACTAGGGTGTAGAAAAAAGTTATTTATTGAAAGGCCCAATTCTGTGAATATCCTAAACAGCTTCCCAGCTTGCCAGGCAGCGTAGCACTGAGCAGCTTGGGACTTGGCTGTTCAAGTGCTGTTTGTACCAGCTCAGTTTCACCTGGCTTTGAAGAATTAGGGGTGTCCTATGTCTGTGGCCTAGAGACAACAACATCACGTGGTACAAACCACTGTACGGCAGTGTATCATCACAGAAATACCTTTTAGAAAGTCAACTGAGAAAGCAGATGGAGTTTATTTTCTGTAGCTAAAAAGCAGAAAGGAATGACAAGCGAGGAAGGCTGCTGTTCCACATGGCAAGAGTTCTTGCACCCATGTTGGAGGAGAGCTAACTAGACAAGAGTAGGAGATCGTATGGTGATGATAGCACAGAGGTTATCATACATCTTGGTCTTGATGCAACTGTGGTCATGTCTGTTGCCTAGTACTGAACCAAGTGGCTGATTTTGGGCTGACCTCTGGTGTTTCTGGATCCATTTTTTACATCACTAGAGAATCTCTTGCTGGTTGCCAGAGCAAGATCCTTGACCAAGCTATAGCTTGCAGTAAGGATCCCGTAACTGAACTTTTTCTCAGTATCCTGTGGGTCTGAGGGAGTTCCTCTGTGGCTGAGCTGTCACCCAGGTAGGGCCCAGACAGATAACCAGAATACTAGCAGTTTTCTTTTCTTTCCCTTTCCAAGTGAACTCCTATGGTCAGCCCCAGCCTCCCCATCTCTTTTCCGGGCCATCTCCTATGTACCAGATTTCCACCCAGGATTCTCCAGGATATAATCGCCCAGGTAAGAATCATAGAATCATAGAATGCTTAAGGTTGGAAGGGACCTCTAGAGATCATCTAGTCCAACCCACCTGCACACGCAGGGTCACCTAAAGCACGTGGCACAGGACTGCATCCAAGCAGGTTTTGAAGATCTCCAGAGAAGGAGACTCTACAACCTCTCTGGGCAGCCTGTTCTAGTGCTCTAACACCCTCACTGTCAAGAAATTTTTCCTTAAGTTCCTGTGGAACTTTTGGTGTTTCAGTTTGTGGCCATTACCTCTAGTTCTGTCAGTGGCCACCAGTGAAAAGAGGCCAGCACCATCCTCCTCACTCCGTCCCTTGAGGTACTTATAGACACTGATGAGATCCCCTCTCAGCCTTCTCTTCTTCAGGCCCAGCTCCCTCAGCCTCTCCTCATAGGGCAGATGTTCCAGGCCCCTGATCATCCTTGTAGCTCTGCGCTGGACTCTCTCCAGCAGCTCCACATCCCTCTTATACTGTGGAGCCCAGAACTGGACACAATACTCCAGATGCGGCCTCACCAGGGCTGAGTAGAGGGGCAGGATCACCTCCCTCGACCTGCTGGAGGCAGATTGGCATTAAGGCAATCTTCGTTATACGAATGAAGATTGAAGATGTTCCCAAACCTCTACGCGTTTCTCCCAAAGCACTTGCTAGTCGAATGGAGCACTGAGGGTGGAGAAGGGGCCTGGACTGCAAGGGATCCTTCAGAAGGGCTGTGCCATTACTCCCGCAGGGTTTAGAATTACAGCGGCCTGGTTTCTTTTGCTTCACACACATGGTCTCCTAACCTAGGCTCACCTTCAGTCAGTTGTTTGAAGATAACCTGATGTAGGGAATCTCCTGTTGCTGAAGTCTTCTGTGGTCTTTTAGCAATCAGCTGTGAGGAAATAAGGAGGCTGCAGATTAACTCTGTAGGTGCTGCTGTGAGGAAGTTCGCAGCACAGCACCTCCCACCTGCAGACTTCAGTACTTGCTGTCTGAGAGGGAGAAGTCCTTTCCAATTATTTTATTGTTTATTTGACTGTGAGGAGAAGCTTATAGTGCCGGAATCCCTTACATGTTCTTTTGCCTAGGAGTCCGCTGTGAAAAATCATGATGATTTTTTCTTCTAACTATTCTGTTCCTTCCTCTTTTCATGTGTTGGGTTCAGCTCACCATCTGGTCCCTCGGCCTCCAGGACCTCCTCCAGGCGCCAACGAGGAAATCCCTGACGATTTCGACTGGGACTTGATCACCTAGCGAGTTACAGACTTGAGAGCCTGTCCTTCATGAAGGACATGGGAGGGAAGGGGGACGTGGGGTGAATGGTGTCAGCACCACCTTCTCCCGCCTCCCTGCCTTTCCTGTATATAGATATATATTCTCTAACTCTGCCAGAGAAGCCACCGCAAGATGCTGCCGAAGATAATCCTTCCTTGCGTCCTGTTTATCTTTTTTCTTTTGTTTATTATTATTGTTATTATTATTATTGTTATTATTACCAGTAATTGAGCACAGCCCTCCCCCTCCTCTGGTGGCCTTGGGCACATCACATTGGCTGTTCTGTGCACGTGGTGCCCTGCGGAGGGTGGAGAGGTGGCTCCTTGGTGCCATGAAAAGACCTCGGAAGGCTAAATCCTCGAGTGCATCTTTCTCTGCCTCCATCATTTTGCGTTTAACAATCCCTCTTTCCCCTCGAGGTGGCCAGTGAGTCTGTCCTATTGGCTACTGGAGTGAGGGAGCCTAGTGGACCTTGGGAGCCTGTAATTATGTTGTTTCTTACATGTTGTAAAAGTCAGGGGATTAAAGGGACACTGGAGGGGGGTGATCTTAGCTCTGTGAACTTTCTTGCACCAACAGGAGGGAAAAGGAGAGGAAAAAAAAAAGGCAAGAAAAGAAATAGAGATTCCAAGTACAAAGAGAGAGCGATCTCTGAGTTTGGGAGAGCTGGATTGAGCTGGGAGTGTGGAGAAAAGAAAATCTTTAGCAGAGAAGCCATTTCGGCAGAGATGGGTTTGAGAATGCAGTGCCATTTATGAGAATGTACAGATTGTGAGGGAATCCTAGTGTGTTTCCTCCGCTGCCCTTTGCAGTTTCCATGAGGTGAAGCCTACATGCCTACCAGGTAAGAGAAGCTCTGCAGGTGTCCGCTGCACCAGCAGCTGGGGGAGGTCAGATGTGATTCATCAAATTCCTGTTCCCCAGAGCTTTTAATTTTATCCCAACCCCTTCAAGCCCTCCTTCAAAACAGGTGGTGAGACTCTCATCTGCATATGCAAATCAGGAAGTTCTCTCATACCATCAGTATTTGTGCAGTTATTATTTGACCCTCTCCCTCTCTCCTTTCTTTGGAGACTGTCCTTGACCTGTGCATTAAGAATGCCAGCAAGTCTTGCCTGTGTAGATATAAACTCTCAGTTTTTGGTACCCATTTGGTGAGGGGGCTAAAGGTGGGAAGAGGAAGCTGCTACTCAGAATGGAGGTGAATTAGGGGACTTTGGGTCAAGGGGCTGGAGCCTCCAGTTAAGTTATTGGGAGGCCCTCACAGGTGATAGGGTTGTAAGAGATGCACTAGAAGAGGGAAGAAAGAAACTGAACGGCCAAGGGGTAGAATATAAAGGAGAGGATGGTGAGTCAGACCCCTTGCAGTTCCACTGGGGAGATAATGGCATTTTAAGCCCTCAGATGATGGGTTCTTGTCAGCACTTGCAAAGCAGGAAGGTGGAAAAGGTGTTGGGAGCAGGCGTGAGTGTTGAGATGCTTCCTCCCCTAAGCTGTGTCCTCTACTCCCCTTTTTCTGGTATGGCTCTGCTCTGTCAAACCTCTTGTTCTCTATATTTTGTAAAACTTCCCCCTGCCCTTATTTCCTACTTATCAGTGGTGAGGGGAAGCAAGATGGAAGCAAAACATCTCATGGGGGCTTGTCATGCCTGGGGCAGGGGAGGTAGTTTAGCATCGCTTGTTGAATTTGCCTAGGGATAAACCAATTGGATCTGTGTCAGGGAAGTGGACAGAGTCTCACTGGATGGGGGTGGGGGGCAGGGAGGGGAAAGCTTTTTTTTTTTTTTCTTTTTTTTTTTTTCTTCTTTATTAAGTGAGTGAGTGTGTGTGTGTATGTATATGTGTGTGTGTAGGGGGGGAGTTCGTCATTGAACTGTGTTTCCAAGAGAAGTGAGGAATCCTAGAGCCAGCTTCAGCATGGAGTCAGCTGTCATCTCGGCTGCTGAGGATGGGAGTAGCAGCCCTGGGCAGCACGTGCGGCTCCATGGCTGGGTCTCTGTGGGACACGGCACCAGAGGCAGCTTCTCTGAGATGCCAGTTAGTGCTTTGCAGCGGACGTTCCCGAAAACCAGCCCTGTGGAAGACTGAAAACACCACCTGGAAGGAGAGCAAGCCAAGATGGCTCTTTCTGCATAGCCAAGTGCTCCTCCTTTGCATATTTGCCTCATTTTGCATATTCTGTTGTGCCTCATTTGCATATGTAAATATGTGCCGGTCAGTGTGCAAATTCGCCTCGCTCCTCCGCCCTTGGGATGAACGTGCATGGTCGGCACGCGGGAAGGCTCCGCCGGGACACGAGGGGAGGCGGCACGCGGAGCCCCCGGAGCGCCCCGCGGCCCCGTGCGCCCTTCCCCAGCGGGCAGGGTGGGAGGGTGGGGGCTCACGAGTTTATTTTTGTGCATGCTTTCTTAATAAAAACAAAAAGTGAATGTTTATGGTTTAACTTCCTTGGTGCTGGTATTGTGTGTGTTTTTTTTGTTTTTCTTTTTTTTTTTTTTTTCTTTGTTGGGTTGTTTTTTGTTTTCTGTTTGTCCAGCGATGCCCGGTCAGGTTGGCTGGTCTTCCACTTACCTGATAGACAGGATGTGAGCTTGGACATTGCGGAGCCCACACGAGTGTGCGCATTATTACAGAGGTGTTTTAGACTGCCCAGAGGAAGAGTGGAGGTGCTCACCATAGCTGGGTGTTTGCACAGCACTGAGAGCAGTGAGGCTTTCAGCTTGTGTTGTTTCCTGTCACTGGCATACCAGCCAGAAGGACAGAGTTTTCACTATGTCAAAGCTCAGTGGCTGTTCATCATACAAAAGTATGGTCAACAAATGCTGACAGGGGACTAACACCAAAAGCACATCTTAAGCCACGTAATTCCACTTTTCAGCAGTAGGGAACGCTGTAGCTTGGGAAGCACCTCAAAAGAACTGGACCAGAACAAACTTTTTTCTTCTTCCTCCAAAATAAAGGAGAAACATTTCTCTTGCAGGGAACAGAACCTGAAATGATTCAACAGCACCTTCCTGCTGTTAGAAGAGATGATATCCCTTCCCCATTCCGAAGTTTCACTAAAGGAAGGATAAACAAGCAGTCCCCTCATTGACTTTGGGAATGACTGCACACACACAAATTCTGTTTGTGGCTGTCTTAAAATGTAGTAGGAGCATTCTGGTCATCTCAGACCACATCCTAAAGCGATCGGTGACTTCAGTGGTAGAGTGTTTGAAAGAGACTGAGTGTGCACGCATTAATGCTACAACGTGTGATTTGACCAGCTTCTAGATTACAGTGCAGTGTTTGCTGAGAATAATAGGCATCCATGGGCATGAAAATTGTGTCTAGAGAAAGTGAAGTTCCAATGTATTGTTATGAGAAAAGGTAGCACTTCCCTCTGGATTTATCTTCAGAGATTAAAAAAAAAAAAAAAACACTTCAATCCTGAACACAAGTAAAGGAGAGGAAAGGTGAGAGGACAGATTTCAAGGAGACACAAAAGAATTCTCTCTGCAGCTTTATCAGAAACAGGAAATACAGAACACTTATAATAGATACAACATGCAAATAACTTCAGTATAGTCATCTAATAACTCAGAGGGTGAATTATATGATCCCACCAAAACTAGTTTTGCAAGCCTGCTTTCTTCTTTAATAGTTCATGTGCTCTGGGTCTTCTTCCTCACCTATGTCTTCCCTCAAAGCTTATTACCTTTAGTATTGCACCTCCCTGTCTCTCTAGAGGAGGATGTAGAGGGGGCTGTTCTCATGGGAGCGATCTCTGTGCCCCAAGTGCAGCTCTGCAGATTAATAAACATGTTAGAGCAAAAGCTGTATGTGGGAAGCCACTGTTTGTCCCTGCGGTGGCGGTGTGAAGTCCTGCCTTAGACTGTGCTGCTAGCATCCTTATCTGACGATGTCTTGCTTTTGTCAAGGGTGTAAGGGGTTGTGTGTGTTAGTTCCTCAACAAAGGCACCTTCCAAGATTCCCTGCAGGGATTGCCGTGCCTTTGCCCTGAAGTCCTGCCCCACAAAAACATAAAGCAGGGGGTTGATGCAGCTGTTAACATACGCCAGTGCTGTAGAGAGTTGATCCCAGAAGACCAGAGACTCCCTCAGTTCTGTTCCAGGAAGAGATACGAAGGACAGGATCCCAACTACGTGGTAGGGAGCCCAACAGACGAAGAATGCAGTTATCACAAGCAAGATGACGCGCAGCATCTTGCTGCGTTGCTTGTGAAGCTGAGTGGTGTGCATCCTGAAAGCAATAAGGGCATAGCACACTGCCATGATGCTGAAGGGGAGGAGGAAGCCAAAGATGGCCCTGGTGATGGTTATGACCACTAACGGGAGGGGTGAAAAACCATCATCGTCATAGAAGTTTCCTAATAAGTCATCACCACTGTACACATTGTCAAAATTCAGCAAACCATCAGGAAGATGGGGTGGGTTTGAACGGAGATCAGTGTTGGGCAGTGCAGACGTGTCTGCACTAGGCAGACCGCTAGGAGATTCCAACAGCTTCATGTCAGGAGAGGCAGTGGAAGTCAACAGCGAATTAACGTTGCCCGGTACTGCAGAATAGCGAATGTGGGATGTTGTGATTGTGTCTTTGTTCATAGATACACTCTCTGTCTGGAAGTCTGGAAAATCATCAACAGACTGATGAAGGAAGATGGTGTGGTCATAGGTGCCAGTTGGTATTAAAGATGAGTATTCTTCCAGTGATTCATTTGCAAGACCATCGCTATCCATATAATCTAGCATTTTATCGTCTCCAAAATTGTACCCACACTGAGTTTTGCCATTGTAAGTGATAGTCTCACGGTAGTGAAAGACAGGACAGCTGAAAATCAAGGCCAGAATCCAAATGCCACTGCACATTAGTGATATAAACTTCACCGTTCGATGATTTTGACACCAGACAGGTTTCATCACGAGGAGGCACCGATCAATGCTGATGGCCATGAGGAGGAAAACACTAGCAAACATGGTGAATATGATGACCGAGGGAATTACTTTGCAGAGGAACCAGCCGTATGGCCAGTGTTCATGGAGGATCAGATGAACGATGAAAAACGGCAAAGACAAGCAGCACATGAAATCAGCCACAGCCAGATTTAGGAACCAGACAATGTTCACGGATCTCTTCATCTTCAGGCCAGCCACCCAGATCACCAAACCATTGCCTGGGATACCTATTATGAAGACAAGGATGAAGACAACAAGAGAGCCAATGGATTCCGATGCGTAATGCGCAGTAGCCTGTTCGAGGGACGTGCTGTTGCCCAGGAGCGGAGACATTCTGTAACTATGAAGCAGAAAGCAAATCAGTAGGAAGTTCACAACTTCCTTCCCAAATTCCTCTCTTCTGTACTAACGCTTTGCTGAGTCAGGTGGCAGTACTGAACTCTCTGGATACACAAGCATAGGTCTATGTTACTTGTTTCTGAAGGCCTGCCTGTGCTAGTCTGACCTTTACACGGCTTCACGATTCACATGGTGGCAAAGTCACCTAAGAAAAATGGCCCCACAACTCAAATGGAGGCTTTGTATATGCTTACGCTCTCCTATCTCTGTCATCCCTTCCGATTTCGCTTCTCCCTTTTTTTAGTCTCTAAAGTGGAAGTCTCACTTTATTCATAGCCATGCTCCCACTATCTTCAAGTGTCTTCCCTGATCAGCTCCTAGTTTTGCTTACGTTTTTGGTCTTCAGAAAAGTACGTCAGCATTGTAGTTCCTTTACCTTTTAAAACAAGTAATTTTTTCTCCTGGCATGAACAGTGGAACAGGCTTAGGTTGAGAAAGCAATGCTTGTGTTAATGAAATAAAGCTATTCTACTTTCTGGACATTGCAAATAGAACAGAGGTTGGCAATTGTATTTGCAAAAGGACATTAATAGGGAAGTCTAAGTAAGCATTTCTCTTCCCTGCTTTTCTAGCCCACGTATCCATTACGAGCAATCTGCCAGTTGCTTCCGTTTCTAGTCTGGGTGAGGAGAAAAGCAAGAGGTGGATCACTTAAGACTAATAGTTGGAGATTTCTGCATAGAGAGAAAAAATAAAATATAAAATAATGTGCGTCAACCATTTTAGATGTAAAAAGCTATCCTTATAGAAAACCAAAGCGGAAACACAGAACACTTAAGTGTGGTTTTAAAACTCTTAAGAAGTGGCAATAGAAGCCTTTGATTGCTTAGTCACTCTTGTCCTTGAATATTCATATGTTAAGTAGAGGAAATTCAGCAAAGCAAAGATATATCTGAAAGAAAAAGCCTCATCTTCCAAGCATTAACAGAATTGTTTACAAACTCCCAAACAACAAAGCACTTGCTGAATCAGTGAAGATAGCCTGTTGCTGAAAGGTTCCTAAAAGCATCACCTGAAGACAAGGAAGCTGCGCAGGTTAGAGCTGAATTCAGCCTGGAGAAGCAGCTGAGAAGACATAAGACAACAAACACTGTTTATATTTTAACCTCTATTGTGGCAGCACATATATGCCGCTCAAGGACTGTTGTGTGCAGGACTAAATGTATGTATTATTAAAAAACAAATCCCCCCAAAAAAAAACCCAGCAAAAGCAAATCATCAGTTTCTTTCTGATACATACAGTCTAGATGTGGAGCAAATCAGAAGTGGTGAAATTGCTTCACTAAGAGGAAAATTAGTTAAATAGTTGTAATGAACATTGTAATTACCACACTTAGGTAACAGTTACCAAGAGGGTAAGCTGTGAGGAAAGCTATGAAAAAAGTCACTGTTTTTAACTAAATAATCTAGCAGGTCTGCTCATTCGCCTGTGGTCCCATTGATATATACGGAGGACACTTTTACAGACATGATCACAGAACAGTCTCCTCATAAAGCTACAGAATGTAAGTACATATAAAGAGGATGGAGAATCAGATAATGCTGTAAAAATAGTAATACAAATCCTACAGCAAAGCAGAGAGATGAAACAATAAGATGATCCTGCCCACCCCATGTTTTCAAGAATGCTAAAAAGCTGCTATATGTCTGCGAAGATGGAAGGGAAAAGTGGAGGGAGAGAGATTTTCAGGAGAGAACAGGGGTAAGAAATTGCAAACTGAAAAGGAAAGCAGAATTTTGTGGCTTATTATACCTACCTGAGTGAAGCAGATACTTCAGCGTGTCTGGTAACACCAACTATCTTGCTTTGACTCTGAAGTGACTGAAAAAAGAAACCTCATGACTTTTTAGGAACTGTTCTTTTCCGCTATGGGCATGGGTGTACTATTCATGTTCTTGTGCCCTGCCGGAAGGGTTTAAACCAATTCCTATCTCAAGTTTTAGATATAATCTGCTAGAAAAAGGAAGGAAACAATCAAAAAAATATCAACAACAACAACAAAGCAGTTGTCGCAACACTGTCAAAATAAAGTAGGCTCCAGAGTTAGGGAATAATAGGAGGCAAAGGACTGATAGGCACAATACACACTTTAAAGAAAGTTTCCATTGAACAACACCAGACTGAGATGCTCCATCAATTCCCTTCTCTATTGGCATATCACCGGCCACTGCTCGATACAGCTCATAATTCAAACCCTGCTAGGTTGCCCTCAGGCGTCTAGCCTGTGGTCTGGTAGCCCCCTCCTGCTCTGTGCGCTCAGCACATTCACCCAGCTAATCCCATTTCTTCTTGTTCTGGATTCTTATCAATCCAGATCACATTCTGTTCCAACCTGAAATCGCTTAGCTCAGCAAATACCCAAACACGTTACCCAACAAGCCTGGACGTCTCAAACAGATTTTAGTCTGTTCTGTGACATTTTTGAGAAGTTATGACTTTTTTTTATTTTAAAGGAACTTAATGGATTAAAAAAAGAAGACGGAGAGAGAAGTGGTTAATTGAAATGCTGATAACACAAAAAAATAGCATGACTGTAAAAACATCTAGTGTAAAGCATTCAAGTATCTAACACTAGGGTTTTTTGTTGTTGTTTTCTTTTTCCCCTAAATTGGGAAATCAAGAGAAAGCGGAAATGGTAAAGCCTGGGCTTATAAGAATCAGACTCAGCATTTTGGTTTTGGTATTGAAAAAATATCAGGACTGCGAAGTCCTGCTCACGAGCACGTCATCTGTTCTGTGAAACACATGAATGCTGGCTCGAAAATGAAACCAGTAGGCAGGGAGGCAGGACAGGACTGGGCTACTCACCAGAGCCATAAATTGTCAGCTGTTTGCCAGGACGGTCCCTCCACCTCCCTCTTGTTCTCAGCTGCCTTTCCTGAGGACTCCTGCGGCCCAGACAACAAGTGACCTGAGGAGAAGGTGAATTTTCCAGTTAATAAGACACTACTGTTATGGTAATCTTTCCCAGCCTCTCCATCATCACGGCATTGCATAGACCTAGCCAAACTCTCCCTTTTTCATTACTGAGCTAGCTCCAATTCCCTCAGTTAAAACCTCTGCCCTGCAGCCAGCCTGGACAGAGCAAACACTTTACCTAATCCATCCAACTCACTCCGGACAGCGATAAGATGATGAAGGCCCTCTCTGCATAGGTTTCAAGGACAACTGAACCTCTTAAGCAGTTTGAGCAGCAAGGTATTTTGCACCTCAGCATGAAGGGCCTAGTGAAGTAGACACTTGCACACTTCAAGGAGCTGGAGCAAGCTGGGAAGAAGACATTTCATAACATTCAGAAAACAGTTACTTGGATCAGGTGAGGCCAGATCTTTGATTTACAACTGTGATGGTAACCCCAAAACACCACATTATACTCTTCTTTTCCAGCTCTTTCCCACATGATAAACAGACTGGATTAGCCCAGAAGGGCTCTAATTAATCTTGTAATTTATCTTGACCTATAGATTCAACTGGCCGTAACAAATTGTCTAAAACCTTAATGCCACTTGTTATTTACATTGTGATTTCAGGTTTGTTAGTACAAACCTGCGCCAGCCGACCGGTTACTAAATAAGTTACATCCGTAGGCAATGGCATTTCTATAAATGTGATTAGCATACTTACTAGTGCCTCCCTCCCTCGAGAGAATGCAGGTTGCCTGCAGAACAGTTTGGCAAGAATTGAGAACGCCACTTTCATTTCATACTTTTACTACTTCTTCTTCAGTTGCACAAAGCTCTGAAGACCCTTTGAGACTCCCTGTTTATTTCTGAGCAGGTCGAGCCACCAGGCAAATAAGATTTTTCCCAGACACCGTTCCTGGAGAATATGTCAAGCTCATCTTCCTAAACTGTCTAAAACATTCCCCACAAAGCTTAGCCACAGCATAACTGCAGCTCCAGAAAGCATATTGTGGTGCTTTAATGGCCAGTCTTCACCATGTGCTTGTTTCCGTCGTCTTCAGCATGCACCTGGTTTCGCAGGGACTAACAGGCTGCTGCCACATTAGCCCCAGGTATCAGCAAGGTTGCAGTGCGTTGGTATTCCTCAGATTCCCTTCTTTAGAAAACATCCTGGATGACCCAAAACCTTTCTTGCACACTGCTGGGTAAGGTCAGATAGGGCACAAACCTTTTGCTCATCAAGTAGGGAACAAGCTGGCAAAACTGACACACATACAGATCACACAGAACAAAAAAGCAGTTCTTCACAAGGGAAGATTCTGATTACTGGGTGATAGCTTGGGTCAGGATTTTCAGTGAAGAGGCATTGTCTGAAACAGGATTTGGACTGTTCTCTGTAAATGCTTGTCTCAAGATTGACCTTTAAGTGATTCATTTTGCAGGATGAGTTTCCCTTGTGTCTTTTATGCACAGAAGGAAAATTCCTTATGTTGTATCCATTATGATAGGCCTCATGCACATTGTTGGACAATGCATTATTTTTTTTTCTTGAATTTAATCAAATCAAAGCAAAAGTTCAAATGATTCTTCTGCATAGATTAATACCAGGCTACCCATAGATCACAGAAAGGTTGAGATTGGAAGGAACTTGTAGAGATCACCTAGTCCAACTCCCCTGTTCAAGGAGGATCAACTAGAACACATTGCCCACGACTCTGTCCAGACACTTCTGAGCATCTCCAAGAATGGAGACTCCACAACCTCTCTGGGCAACATGTTCCAGTGCTCAGCCATTCTCACAGTAAAAAACATTTTTTCTTAGATTCAGATAGAACTTCCTGCGTTTCAGTTTGTGCCCTTTGCCTCTTTCCTTGTCACTGGGCACCGCTGAGAAGAGCCCAGCCCCATTCTCTCTATGCCCTTCCTTCAGATATTTTTATATATATTGATAAGATCCCTTCTCACTTTTTTTTTTCCCTTGCACTACTCCTATGAGGAGAGGGTAATTCTGTGCTGTTTCAGATGCTCTTTTAAGTAACTTTGCTCCCAAGTATTCCTCTCATTAATCTCTCTTAACTTCAGTTCAGCATCAGAACTGCAACTTCTCTCATCTTTCCTTCTATTCCAACAGTCTGGCAAGCAACACAGCCCTGGCACCCTGCAAGCAGGAAGGCAGAGCTGTCTTCTGCATCATGGCACCTACCTGCAGCAAGCATTGGCTCCGCGCATTCTTATTTGCTCTTGCCCGGCTGCGTGAAGGGGTTTCAAATCTCTCTGTCCGGGCAGGTATCTGTCTGCTCCGGTGTGCAGCCTGGCAGGGAATGGCTCCCTTCATCCAGGCAGCAAGAGAAGGTCCTCTGTTCCCTGGAGCATCAAGATATGCCAGAAAAAAAACCCCAAATCCTATGTGCCAACCCCTCCCTCCCGCTGCAGGGAAGCAGAACAAGCTGGCATATTGGAAAGGAAAAGGGAAGTTGTGTATTTACATAATTCCATAGTAATTCAGGTCTATAGCTCACACCAATCATATCACTTCACTGTATCTATTCATACAATTGCCCACACCATTTTTTTCCTGAAAAGCTAGGCCAGTTACATTTAGATGGGTTAAACTACCCGAATTTTGTTTTGCTGGTTTTGATAACTCGATGACTGTAAGTCAAGACTTCCTTCTTCATTTTGCTGGACTTTGCTTATCTGATCTATGGAACTGGCAGGACAAATTCCCTTTGTTTCAAAGATTTTCTGAACTGGGTACTGCCAGGGACATGCTGCTGGGCTACCTGAACCTTTCACGTGGCAGAAATGCTGCTTGTTTCGAATACTATGACAGAGCTTTATTAGCATTCAGGTCCATTTACCTCTGGAATGAAAATGGCAACAAATCGTCAAAGTTTCAGCTCTCACTGCTTTATCTAACACTATACCATACCAGAAAACAAATGTCATTCCCAAGCTCAGTGCTGTTTCATTCACTTTGCTTTACCCTCAGCAATAAGCCAAGCTCCCTCAGCATTTTGTGCACTGCTTAAATTCCTGGCGCAATTAACCTACATTATTGTCTGCCCCTGGAGGAGTGGGCAAAGGTAACTTTATTTGTAACTTGCCTTATCCCTTTTTTTTCCTCACAGTCTTCAGGGTCAAAATTTAGAGCACAATTTAGATATGTAATCAACTGCACCATACTAACTGACTTCAGAACCAGCTTTCAGGAAGCCAGTGACTCTTAAAAAATTGCAGTGTAAATGCTACTAGCATTTATCCTATTATATCTCGTGAACAGTGTTTGTATATTTGCATTAGCCACATTTCTGGAGAGTCACGTATCTGAAAACAACCTTTATTTAACATGCCCTTTTATCAGTTTTAGCTGGAAAAGTTATAGCGGTTTGTGTTGCACTTCCTCTTTACTTTGGCATTTTACCAAAGGCTTCTCCTTCCCAGAACCAGGGTACATGAAAATACTTCTTTTTGACCTAAGGTTGCAGAGAAGGCGG